AAAGTTTGGAGACCAAATCTAGAAAGGTAACTGGGCTATGAGGACAGCCAATATTTTGGCCCTGGTCCCTCAAGATCAACAAATATCCAGGATCCTACATCTTTGCTAAGTTACTCAACCTCCTGAGCAGGGGGATTGCTGGGCACCAGAGGACAAAGGTACCGTGTTTCAAAGGAGGGTCACAAAGAGGAAAAAATCTCCCACACTTTCACTGAAAGCAACATGGTCAAGCAAGGCCATGACCCATCCTGAGGGCTGACAGACGGAGGAGCTAAGAGGCTCTATGCATGGTTCCAAGTAATGCCTGAGGAGACTTAACTGACCTTGATAGATAGCAAGAGGTTCATCCTGATTGGCACAGGTCTCCCTTTAACTTGGTTTTAAACACCCAGAAAAGAATAACCAAAAGAGGTATAAATAATGCCATAGTAATAAAGCTAGATGTAAAAAGGGCTCCAGTCACTGACCCCTTCTGGCAGTTTCTAGCTACACCAGTAGCTGACCAGTTATGGATCATTAGGAAAAATCTATGGTAGAATCTAGCCACCAGGTTACAATCACTATTTCAATTTCCCAACCTGCCCTTCGATTCTAATGTGCTCATGCTTAGATTATACATGCTCTGATTTCTTAAAAGTTTTTTTATTCTTGCCTAGAGACTGCCAAACTCCACGCAGTCATACAAATGGAACCAATGACAAATGTGCTAGACTTCTTTCACTGGGATCCACCAGATTGACCTGGTAAACAGCTCATGACTGCTAAACTATACAACACGACTTCTCTGTTGGATTCTGAAGTCCCCTGGACCTTCTCCTTATCCTCCTTGTGGGAGGCTATTACAAGTTCCTTCTGATGGGAGACCCTTGTTGGCCATATTCATAGCAATCCTGCCGACCGTATAATTTGACCCATGTATTCTTAATTGTTTCTTTGGCTTTATCTCCTCCAGACTCAAAGCTATACAGCTACCAAGATGACAATGCCTGGCACCCATCGAAGGCCTTTAGATAGACTCTCTGTAGAGTAACTCTAACTACTGATCACAACTACAACCCTCTCCAGCCGGAATTAGCCAGACCTGTCTTCGCCCTTTGCCCCCTCACAGCAGTTAGGGGTCCTTCTTCAGAGGGGGGAATATTGCAGATAGGTAAGTTAATTAGATAGCTTGTAAGCAGTTAGACAGGGCCAGCCCAGGAGGAGCCAACATGGAGGACAGAGAAGACACGTTCACTGAAG